AATAGTTTTTCATTTTAGTTGATGAATAAAGCATGAACATGCTACTTTTATTTTTGTTTGTCAAGTCTCCTTGATATGTGCTAGCATTCTAATTGTCATTTATTTTCTCTTATTTGTGTGCTAACTTTGATATGTTGTGTCCACTAAGACTCTCTCTATAACATGACCTTATTGCATCATGAGTTGATTGTCCATTCTTTTCATCATCATGAAAGAGCTACCTTGCATGAAGTGGGAAAGTTGTTTTGAGTAACTTTCTGATTTGTAGAGACCCCTATACTTTGGAAAATCTACCATTAAGAGGACTACCTTCTTACAAGTATGAAAGCTATATTTTGGTTATGTTTATGAGAGTTATTTGCCCTTTGATCAAAATGAAAAGAAAAATCTTTATTTACTATGCTGATAAAGAAAAATGCAAAATATAGTTAGGCATGAAGGAAGGGGGAGCTTCTCTTGCAAAAATTTAAAATTGACCAATGTGTCATTTTACCCCTTGAGACACTGTCACACACTAAGACAAGCTCTTGGAAATTATCTCATTTGTGTGTGATTACAGAAGTGCTGTTTTGACTGCACTATGTTGACAACTTCCGTATGAGTTTTTGGGCCTTTTAAGATTGAAAATTTGATCTCTTTAGTTGTTTTGAACAAATTGACTATTTTGACCTTAAAAAATTCATGTGAATCATTTCATAATTTTAATTTTATGTTCTTTAAATTTTGCTCAATAAAGTCTAGTCTTTTGAAAATTTTTAATGTTCTTTTGGGATGTTGTGTGCTCACACAATTGCATATGTACACTCATTGGGATATAGTTCTATTTTTGGTAAAACTCTTTTTTTAGAATCTCAAAATCGTCACCTGCCATAAATGCGTTGCCCTATTTTTCTTTGTGTCAGTCTTCATTTTCTAAAACCTTCTTGCATCGCCTGTGTTCTCTGTTCTTCACAATTTTTTTTCTCTAAAAATTTTTCACTAATTTTTCCTTGTTCTCACATGGAATCAAGAAAGAAAGCATTGGAGGATCCGAAAAGAAAAGACGAATCTTTGGGAAAGAGATTCTTGGCAATGAAGAAAGCTAGATTGTGGAGTCAAAAGCAGCCAAAAAACTCTTCTCCTCCAACAAATGATTCAGATTCTGAAAAGGGAAGCCAAGAGAATGAATCAACTCACTCAACCTCACCTAGTTCATCCCCTATTTCTAGTGATCACCAAAACTCAGAGTGCTCACAGAATGAGTCAGCCCCTGCCTCACCTGATAAGATGCCTGAAAAATCTTCTTCGACGTCAGATAGCGCCTCAAAGAACATGCCGATAGCCACTCTGAAATCGCACAAAGAAAGTCCTTCAAAGAGCACGCCTTCAAAGACTCTGACTCCTACAAAATTGGCGAAAAAGAAAGGAAAAGCCATCATGGAGGAGCCTTCGTCTGGTAAAATTTCTCCTTTTGTTTTACCAACTATTGAGAATAGATTTAGGAGCCATATTGTCAAGAAGACAATTATGAGCGAAGTGAATGTCAGACTAGAAGACTTTGATGAAAGATGGAAATTGGTTAGGGACTATCACTGGGCTGGCTGCCCCTGTACAAACTCTTGTCCAAGAATTTTATGCTAATTTTGGCTTTGACAATGCTGACTTATAATCGAACATACATAATGATAGCGTTTATGTTAGAGGACATTGGGTCTTGTTTACAAAAAAAATGTTGTAAGGGATGCTCTTGGCTTGAAGAAGAGCAAAAACAATTTTGGTTTGAAGAGTTTAGACTTAGACAAAATTGTCAAAGTCATCACTAGTGGTTCAATTACTGTTTGGCCGAGAACTGGTGTTCTTCAGCCTGGTGTACTCACACCATTTTATAGATTGTTGTTTAAAATCTCACTAACAAATTGGTCCCCTTCAATGCACAATTCGACCGTCGGACTTGAATGAGCACAACTCCTCTATGGAATTGCTCAAAGGAAAAAGATTGACTTGGCTGAATTGATTTTCACTAGTATTAGAGTTGCAGTGCAATCAACTCACTCTTTGCAGATTTTGTGCTTTCCTTCTTTACTTTACAAAATCATTTCCACTTACAAGCCTAAATCCTATGGAGTGGAACCTGTTTTGAAGATAAAGACTATCACCAAGAAGTTTTTTTGACAGCTTAAAGGGAACTTGCCACCATATTCCTCAATTGATCAAGCAAGGACTAACACTTGACAGTCCAAGCTTTTTGTTGCCATGCAAGACTTGGAGACTTCAATGGAGTTTTTCTTTCAATATGTGAAGGAAATTCACATTTCTCTCTGCTCACAAATGGACAAAATAGAGGTTGATATGAAAAAGAAGAAAAAGAAGAAAGAAAAGATTGTTCTGACAGAACCTACTGATCTGAATGTGGTACCTCCTACTGTTCCAGTTGATCTTGCTGTCATTCCTGCTTTTGCCATACCTACTGAAGATGCTATGCCAGTTGAAGAAGAACATGCTGTTGATGAGGAAAAAGAAAAAGCTGCTGATGACGATGAACAAGAAACTCCTAAAGGTGCAGTTGCTCAAATAGATTCTCATGTGCACATTGACCTGCTTCTCCAATTCAAGATGAAGCTATTGACATCTTTCCTACCGCAATTCTAGAAGTTCAAGTGGAGGACTCACATGTTACCATCATTGCCCCTCCACAATGCATAACCAAGAGGAAAGTTGGTCGCTCTTCTCTACCCTCTCGAATGTCATCAAGACTTTTGAACAAAGAGGGGGAGTAAGAAAGCATGTGGGAGTTTATAGTTTAGTTATGTTTAGTTTATTTATGTTTTGGATAAACTTAGAATTTTTTTTGTTATCTCTCTATGAAGAAGTTTGTTACTTTGTTGGCCTTTTTTTTTTTTTTTTAATTTTTTGAACTCCTTGATCTTACTTTGATGACTTTATTTTTTCATTTACTAACCATGTGTTTTCATTTGTGTTGTTTTGGTTATTTTGTTTTCATGTTTGTTTGTGCAAATCTGTAGGTCTTAAATGGTTGATTTAAACAGGTTTGCACTTGATCTCTTTTATTATGTTTTTTGTTCATAGGTTTGACAAAGAGGGAGAATGTAGAATATTCATTTTTTTCAAACTTATGAGTTGTGTGTGTGCACAATAGTTATGTGGGCACACTGGCTACCAATCCTTTTATTTGGCTTGTTTCACCTATTGTGTATGTGCACATCAGTTCTTAGTGCACACTATTTGCCAGAATTGTGTCTTGGCTTGTTTCATTTCGAGCGTGTGTGCACAATGGTCTGTGCTTACACTCTCATTTCAGATATGTTGGGTTGCATGTTTGATAAAGTGAAAAAGATATTGTTTATCTTTGTCTCTTGATAATTAGGACCTTTTACATGTGTCATAATATCCTTAAGTGGTCCTAGAGAATAAAGTTATCTTTCCCGATTTGTTTTGTGGTCCAAACCAAAAAAAGGAATAATTTCCTTATTTGGACAAACATGGGTCAAACCCTTGTTGGCTGATGTGGCACTATATTGTTGAGCAAGAAATCCTTCATTATATAATACTCTTTCTTGCGCAAATGAATCTAACTTTTTGACAGTTTGTTTCATTGTACTATGAATTTCTTAGAGTATTCTATCTTTTAAGGTTCAAGGTTCCTTTCTCTGTTGTGCCAAAATTTCACCATATCAAACATAGACTTGATGACTTTTGGCACGTGGTTCATTTGTTGATGCTGGTGCATGGCGTTGGTGCTTGAAGCTTGGTGGTTTACAAGCTGTTCTTGGGTGTGTTCTCGCCAAGAATAAGCTCCAAGGAGTTACTACATGTTAAGGATTCAGAGTGTGGTGCAAAATGTAAAGTTGAATAGGGAGTTGTTTTTGCTATAACTTAGATCAGCTTTGAACTATATCTTGTAATGTGTTTTTGACTTACTGGATTGCTTCGATTTGGACACGATCCTATGGATGTAGGCTAAATGTGGATTTAGCCGAACCATGTATGTGGCTATATTCTTCACTTTCTGTACTTATGTTTGTTGCGGTTAAAAACTGGGAATTTCTTAATCAACTTGGTAATGTTCCGTTGCACGTTAAAATGGATACTTAAACACCGAAGTGTGTTAATCAATCCCCAACACCTTCTCTTGAAGTTCCTTTTCCTTCTCCTGAAGCTCTTTTTCCCTCGAGCTTAGTTCTCTAGTGAGCTTCGCCACCTTCAACTAAAGCTCTCTATTTAGATCCTCCTCCTTCTTCAGCTCCTTCTTCTGAAAATTGACCGTTTTTAGAAGAACTTCTTTTTGCTCTGGGCGCTTGTCCACTAGAACTTGAACATCCCTTGCAATCATATTAGTTGCTGTGAGGGTTTTCCTCAACTTGACGACCTCCTCCTTTAGCTCTTGAGTTTTGTCATTGGAGGAGAGTTTTGTTTTGTTGTGGGCAATGTACAAGGCAAGAGCAGCCTGCAAAGGAGAAAGAATACAAGTTAGTCATAAAAAGGGGATTTTCAACTGATCTCAACAAAGATCGCGAAAAGAAAAGTTTCGTACTTGATTCTGCATTTGAAGTGCTGTCATCAGCAGGTCAAAAGGCTTGGCCTTCTGATAGCTTTCGAAGGTCGTCTCCAGTTGGCACTAAAGCATGATAAAGAGCAGAGGCCGCAAATGCTCGAGGAGCATCTTGATAAGATCTAGAATGGAATCATTGTGATCCATCACCTCAGAAGTCTCCCCGGTCTTTTCTTGAGTGGCCTCACCGATTTTCTCTTGAGTAGCCACTGGCATGTCCTTCGGATGAGCTTCGATGGAGGGACGACTTTGACAGCCACCACGGATCCACCCTTGGGATCCTTAGCTGGTCAATGCTCAAGTTTGTTGGAAGATCCTTAGAGGGTGCAATTAAATATTAAAGAAAAATGAAATGTTGGTTTAGGATATGAATTCAGATTTATGCCTGCTAGTATTGACAGATGGCACATATTAATAGATTCCTTAGGCCAGGTGTTAAGCAACAATACATATGGGTATTTTTTTAATCTTTGCTTTAGTTTATGTTTTTCTACTATTCAATGGGGTCCAAATGGCACTTAACATATAGATCTTTGCATTATAGCAGTGGGATACATTATAATATGATTCAGTAATGTTAACTGATACTTTAACATGAACCAAAGTGTGGAGTATTTTAGCTGATATTGATATATATTATGCTGTACATGATATAAAGCCAGAGGATGTTGGGCTAAGCAATAGGCTGCAGAAGATCTTCAGTGCTCAAGATGCAGCTAAAGGGCATCTAATGGAAGATGGAGTTAAAGGGTCTCCAATTGTGACATACACAACCATATACAAGTTTTCGAAATTTTCGGTAAGACCAGATAGTTCTCATTGGTTAATTAGTCAGTTTGTTGTTTTATATCTGCATATGAAACATAATGAAATAGCCCTTTTACAGTTCTAAATAGGATGAACTGAAATTTGAATGTTCCTTTTGTAGTTTTATCATAGTATTTTTCCAAATCCTACTTAAGTAATTAGCATTCTTTTTGTTACTCCTTTGTGCAACTATGCCTTTTCTTTCTTCCTGCAACTGCTGTTATCCCCTTGCATAACCATCCGGAAATGACTGTGTTTAGCAAACTCCTTCTGGGAACAATGCACATAAAATCGTATGATTTGGTTGATCCAGTGAGCTCCCATGACTCTCCGCCACATTCACAACGTGAGTATTCCGTACACAATCGAGTTTGCACACGCACACACACACACACTTCACTAGTTACGCATACTAACTTGAATGAGGTAGAGAGAAATCATTTATGTACCAATGTTGCGATGAATTTGCAGCTAGATTCGCAAGGTTAGTAGCGGACAATAATTTCACAGCGCCTTGCGACACTTCTGTATTGTATCCAACCACCGGTGGCAATATCCACGAATTCACAGCTATTACAACGTGTGAAGTGCTAGACGTGCTTAAACCTCCCTATTCGAAAGCTGATGATCGAGACTGCTCACACTACGAGGAGTTTCCATTCTCTGCTTTTTCAAGTAAGTGAAACTTGACAATCTAAAGATATTAAATTAATTTCTCTTATCCAATTTGAAGTTGTGAACAGAATTTGTAAATCATTTCTCACTGGTGAATCTTATATATGCAGAAAATTCAGTGAATACGGAGGAGGGTGAGTGTTATAGGTGGTTGGAAGAGATTGAAGTGTCGGAGAATTCACAGATGGATGAAATTGAGTACTTAGGTCCACATATTGATGATAAATAGTAACTAGTTATTTCATTTTTAGAAAGCTTCACACTATAATTTCTTTTTTTCTGTCTTAAGATAATGTTCTTTTTGTAATACAGAAGATATCTTTTTGTTGGGTTGAAATTTCACAATGTTGATAGTAAAGTATCTTTTCATGTATTTGATGTACAACACGATACACTTTTGTTGACAAAGAAAACAATGGCCATTTTAGGTTGCAACTAGACCATTGAAGTTGTAGTTGATCATTTATATTGGTTTTGAACAAAAAGATAAGATTGATACAAATTAGAAATAGGGAGTCAATTAGCCTTTGAAGTTTGAATAAGTCATGGGGGGCAACTTCTCTCATCTTTTTCAGCCTTCATTTCTAATGTTAATTCAGTCATTGAAAACAACCATTCTTGAGTATCTTTAAATGCCCTTGTAAATTTTCTAAACAGCTTCGTCAATATTATACATACATATAGTCCACAAGAAGATTGTTTTTTGAAGTCAAATTGAACAAAATGAGTAATTTTATTATATAATATTAATTCTAGAGGAACCTTGTTTTTGTTAAGTCAGTGACTTGGCTGAAGACATGTAAAAAATGGGCTGTCCACCATATTTTCTAGGCCCATTTGGTCGATTGTGCTGTACCAACTTAAAATTCAGAGTTGTTTTCCACTAAACTACTGATGCTTAAATACTTTACCAATGGAGTTCCAGTGTGTATGGAACTTTAGGCTTTTATTCGGTGTGAAAATTAATCATCATCAAATATTAAACTATTTTTTGGGTAAATGGTAATATTATAAAGAATGAAAAACACAACCTAAAAAAGGGACTACCCTTAAACACTGGAACCTTGGACAGGCCCAAGAACTTAAAAAAAAAATCACACACCAATGTCTACCACAGGCACAAGCAAAAAAAAGCCTAAGTGTTCCACCAATCACCTGAAAAGTGTCAATACAAAAAACTAACTAGTCCATCACCAAGAAAAGGATGGCTGGAGTAAAAAAAAAACCCAGGTGAAAGTAAATGTAAAGTGAACAATCAGTAATACTACACTCATAAACCATTTTTACTAACTTTCTCTCATAAACGCGACGTGTCAGCTAGTAATTGATTAGCATGCAATAGGTCCTACTTGCCCAACAACGAGTCTCATCTTATCAAATGCAAAATGACCAATTATAAGCTACCATAGTCAGCGTTTGTGAGAAAAAGTTGTGAGAAGTGTTTGTCAACCTACTTTGTTTGTGAACAAAACAAAATCTATAGATTGACCTCCACAGCTGCAGCTACCAAACAAACAACGAAGAGAAATACCCACATTCCTATTACAGATACAGAAGAATCTGCAAGATCCTCCTCAAATCATACTGTATCTTTTATCAAAACCCAATCCCATGATTCTAGGCAATCTCTTGATTATAGACAATAGCTATAGATGGAAATGTTGACTTTGTACGAAATTATCCTTGTGTAATTTTGCCTTTAATTCATAAATGAGACATGCACCATCTGACAACTTTAGGTGGTTTTTCAAACTTGTCATGGTATCAGTAGTCCTAAGGATTCACTCTGTCGATCCAATCCTCTGAAACTCTATCCCTTACCCTGTCTTTCAACACCATGGCCCACCTCTTGTCCATCAAGTTATCTTCTTCCAACTTTCTCCTCTGGCGTAGTCAAATACTGCCATTGCTGCAGTGTCAACATCTCCTTGGATACGTTGATAGCTCCATCACACCTCCTTCTGCAATTATCGATCTGGTGCCTCTGCCATTGTCTCCAACATTTGCTCAATGGCGCAGATTGATCAACTTGTAAAGTCTCCTCCTTGCTTTGTTGACTGAAGAAGCCCTGTCTATTGTTGTTGGCCTGACCTCTTCGCATGTAGTCTGGTCCACTTTAGAGACCACCTTCAGTCTCGTTCCAAATCCATTAGCTGCGTTTAAAAGATGATTGCAGCATATGAAGAAAGATGCTCGTCTGTTGTTGAATATTCCCGTGAGTTCATCTATTTGTGACCTTGCTGCCATGGGTCGCTCTGTAGATGACCTCGACAAAATACATTGGTATTATGTGGACTTGGCTCTGCTTTTCACCTTTTCTACTCACGTTATCTCTTTCATCTCTTTTTTCTTTACTGAATTGTTCCCATGACAGAGAGTTTATGAAAATTTTGTTAAATCATTGGAGCTGCCTTCCACGGGATCTACTTTTGTCGCCTTCATTGCCTCTCACAGTAACATCTGCCCTGCTTGTAGGGGTGCTCGTGCTTCTCATGGGGGTCATAGTCGTGGTGGTGGTCGTCATCACACAAACCGTCTTATCCGTTGTCAATTTATCATAGGGAAGGGCTTACGCCACTTCTTTCCTTGACGCGTACTCCCATTCCTCAAACGCTACCAACCGTGGAGGCTTTTACCTTATGCACACTAAATGATAATCAGGCTTCTGATTGGTATACGACACTGGAGCCCTACGCACGACTAAATGCTACTACGTTGGACAAGTCTGTACGTACACTGGTAAGATCGTGTTATTGTCGGTAATGGTGCCTCTCTTCCTATTTCTCCCACCGGTACCCTATCTCCAACCTCTTCCTTACTTTAAAAGATATCTTAGTTGTGCCTGGCTTAACCAAAAATTGATTTCCATCAGTAAACTTACCCTGATTTCCCCTTTTCTATCACCTTTACCAATGATCGCTTTATTATAAGAATCAAGTCACAAGAAAGGTGGTGGCAACCGGACGGCGTGAAGACGGTCTTTATGTGTTAAGCGTGGACATCAATATTTAATTTATGTTTTCTCAATAATTGTCCTCGAGCTTCATTTGATGTTTGCATGCTCGTTTGGGTCATGTTTCTCACTCTATTATTTTCTCTTTGAATAAAACATCAATTATGTGGATTCTTTGCTTCCTACTCCCACCATTGTTCTAGTTGTCAACTTGCAAAAAGTCATAGACTTCCATTTCAACATAATGCAAACGGGCATCTCATTTGTTCTAGTTGTCCCTTTCAAAAAGTCATGATTCCATTTCACATAATGACAACAGGCATCTCATGTTTTGGATCTTATCATTGTGATTTATGGGGTCCATCCCCGTTCCATCAAATTTGGGTTATAAATATTATGTCATTTTTGTTGATGATCATTCCCGATTTACGTGGCTCTATCCTTTGAAATTTAAATCCGATTTTTACCGCATTTGTCTTCAATTTCAGAAATTTGTGGAAAATCAGTTTTCATTAAAATCAAGTATTTCAAACTGATGAGGCACTGAATTTACCAATCATAATTTTCGGGATCATTTACAACTGTCATTCATCATCAAATGTCTTGTCCTTATACACCGACCCCAAAAGGGCCTGTGACGTAAACATTGTCATATAACTGAAACGTTTTAGTGATCTCTTTCACTCCATGTCCCTCTGAATTTTGATAGATGCTTTAGCACAATTGCTTTCACCATTAATCGTGGCCCACGCCTCCTATTGATGCCTTGTCTCCTTTTGAGCTTCTTATGGTAGTCTCCCATTTATTCCATTTCATCCTTTTGGCTCCCTTGTATTTCCATACTTACATGATTATGCTTCTCACAATTAGCCCCTTGCAGTCGTCCTGTGTTTTTCTTGCTATAGTATGTCTCACAAAGGTTCATTGTTTTGATCGTTCCACAATCATGTCTTTATTCCAGGCGGTGCTATTTGGATGAACTTACACTACAGAAAAAGTACTTTTTGCAACCATTTTTTTGCAACTAGGCAAAAATAGTTGCAGATACCCCACATTTAGTTAATTCCATTAGTCGGCCAAAGGGAATAATTCTAGGGCCCATTTATTCCCACCTTTAGTGTCTAAAATTAATACTTTGCGACTAATGATTTGTTGCCAAAATATCATATCAGCAACTAATTTATTGGTTGTCAATTCTTATGCGAACAACATTGACAACTACAACAAGAATTCTGCAACTAAAATTATGGTTACAGAAAACATTATTTGCAACTACTGATAGTTGCTAAATTAGATGCAAATATTTATTAATAATTTGTAACTATTTTTATTAGTTTAAAAATAATACAATTACCGAAATCCAAGCTTTTGACAATAATTACAAAGGGCCCGGGGTACATTTGGCAACTAATTATTTGTGCATATTACAACTAGTTGCAAAAGCTCATGTATAGCAACTAAAATGTATTTAGTCACTAAAGTTGATGAATTTTTTGAACCTAACTTTCTCGGTAATAAAAAAATATTATTTTATTTGTGATCAAAATTATTTTTGCATAACTAATTAGTTAGTTCGCAAATTTCTTCTTTTGACAACTAAGATTTTAGTTGCCAATGTATGTAATTTTGAATGCCCTATGTTTCCGCTTGAAATAAATTGAAATTTGGGTATGTTATTTTCGCATCTAAGTTAGTTGTTATTAGGATTGACATCTTAGACTTTAATTTCCTTATTAGGATTTGGGATTCTCTGCAACTCTTAACCCAAAACTGAGAAAAAACAATTGTTTTCTTTTGCTTTTAAAAACACTCATTTCGTGTTTTGGCCATTGCCTGCCTGCCTCCTCTCAAAACTCAAAAGCCAGCCCTGTCCTTTCTTTTCTGTCCTCTTTTTTAGGGTTTCTACTTGTTAAGAGAGAACCTTGGGAAAAGTGGCATTGTTTTTTTTCAACAAATGGCTTTCTCTCTCTCCTTAGATCTATGCCCACCGTTTCTCTTTCCAGCGCCGCTGACTTCTCTTCTCTCCTCCGATCGTCTCAAGGTCCGATTATCGTCCTCTGTTTTGCCTTCGATTTTTAGAAGCTCCGTTTGGTTGTTGTTGACTGAACTGAGCTGGAATCTCAGTTGCCAACAGTATTCAACCCATCAAAGCCACTGCTACGAGTTGCCACCCATAGTTCAAAGTAAGAATAAAAGGATTTCATTTAGTGATTCATAATCTTGGAAACTGTTTAATAGTGTGCGATCTATTTTGTTTTGTTAGAACGGAGCGTGGG